GGTGGGGGGCACAGTGGGGTGGGGGGGCTCTGGAGACCAGGGTGGGTGGCACTGGGGACTCTGGGGACAAGGACGGGGCTGTGGGGGACTTTGGGGTCTGGGGCACATCAGAGTGGGTGGCTCTGGGGACCAGAGCACATCAGGACATTGGGGGCTCAGCAGGACAGGGTCCCCACCCCAAGAGTGGGGTGTGGCTGTGTCCCCAGCCCCACACACAGGGCACAGCCGTGTCCCCCAGCCCCACATACAGGGTGTGGCCGTGTCCCCAGCCCCACATACAGGGTGTGGCCATGTCCCCAGCCCCACATACAGGGTGTGGCCGTGTCCCCATCCCCACATACAGGGTGTGGCCGTGTCCCCATCCCCACATACAGGGCACAGCCGTGTCCCCATCCCCATGAGCAGGCCTGGCCGTGTCCCCAGCCCCCTGTGGGGTGCAGGGTGGGGTCTCAGCGCTGTCCCCCCATCCCCAGGGACAGCCTGCTGCTGGAGGCCGGGTTCCTGGCCGTGCTGGTGGCCCCCCTGCGCCTGCTGCGGTGGGGGTCCCCGGCCTGGAGACCCCACGACGCCGTCACCTTCTGGGCCGTGCGCTGGCTGCTCTTCCGCCTCATGTTCGCCTCGGGCGTGGTGAAACTCAGCAGCCGCTGCCCCACCTGGTGGGGGCTCACAGGTGAGAGTGCAGCTTTGGGGGGCTCAGAGGTGAGAGTGCAGCTTGGGGGGTCACAGGTGAGACTGCAGCTTTGGGGGGCTCAGGTGAGACTGCAGCTTTGGGGGCTCAGGTGAGAGTGCAGCTTTGGGGGGCTCGTGCAGCTTTGGGGGCTCACAGGTGAGAGTGCAGCTTTGGGGGTTCAGGTGTTGGTGAGGGCTGCAGCTTTGGGGGTTCAGGTGTTGGGGGACTCACAGGGGAGGGGGAGCCTCAGCTCTTGGGGGGAATCCTCCAGTTTTGGGGCTTGTGAAGCTCATGAGCTGCTGCCCCACATGGGGGCTCACAGTTGAGGGGTGCAGGTTTGGGGACTCAGGTGTTTTGGGGGTGCAGGTTTGGGGGTTCAGGCACTAGCCTGGAATTCCAGTGAATTAATGGAAAGTAGATTATGGAAAGCCCCCCCAAAGCCCCCTGGGTCCCCCAGCCCCAAGGTACCCCTCAATTTGGAAACATTTTTGCACTGGGAATCTTTTCCTGGTTTAGCACTGGTTATACTCTGTGACAGGAAAATCCGGGATTGCCCCGGGATTGGGGTGAGTTTTTGGGAAGTAGATTGTGGAAAGCCCCAATCCCAAGGTACCCCTTAATTTGGGAACATTTTTGCACTGGGAATCTTTTCCTGGTTTAGCACTGGTTATACTCTGTGACAGGAAAATCCGGGATTGCCCCGGGATTGGGGTGAGTTTTTGGGAAGTAGATTATGGAAAGCCCCCCCTGTGTCCCCCCAATCCCAAGGTACCCCTCAATTTGGAAACGTTTTTGCACTGGGAAGCTTTTCCCTGATTAGCACTGGTTATACTCTGTGACAGGAAAAACCGGGGTTGCCCCGGGGTTGGGGTGAGTTTTTGGGAGTAGATTGTGGAAAGCCCCAATCCCAAGGTACCCCTTAATTTGGAAGCACCAGGAAGCTTTTCCCAGACTAGCAGTGGCTGTCCTGTGACGGGAAGAGCCGGGTGGCCCGGGGCTGGGGTGAGTTTTGGGAAGTAGATTGTGGAAAGCCCCCCCTGGACCTTCCTGTGCCCCCCAATCCCAAGGTACCCCTCAATTTGGGAGCATTTTTGCACCGGGAAGCTTTTCCCAGACTAGCAGTGGCTGTCCTGTGACGGGAAGAGCCGGGTGGCCCGGGGCTGGGGTGAGTTTTGGGAAGTAGATTGTGGAAAGCCCCCCCTGGACCCTCCTGTGCCCCCCAGTCCCAAGGTACCCCTCAATTTGGGAGCATTTTTGCACCGGGAAGCTTTTCCCAGACTAGCACTGGTTATACTTTGTGACAGGAAAAACCAGGGTTGCCCCGGGGTTGGGGTGAGTTTTGGGAAGTAGATTGTGGAAAGCCCCAATCCCAAGGTACCCCTTAATTTGGAAGCACCAGGAAGCTTTTCCCAGACTAGCAGTGGCTGTACTCTGACGGGAAGAGCCGGGTGTCCCGGGGCTGGGGTGAGTTTTGGGGTTTGTGGCCGTGCCCCCAGCGCTGACGTACCACTACGAGAGCCAGTGCATCCCCACGCCGGGCGCGTGGCTCGCCCACCAGCTGCCCGTGTGGCTCCAGAAGCTCAGCGTGGTGGCCACCTACGTCATCGAGGTGGCCGTGCCCGTGCTCTTCTTCGCGCCCCTGCGGCGCCTGCGCCTCTTCGCCTTCTACTGCCAGGTGGGCAGGGGGCTGCTGGGGGGTGGGCATGGGATCATCCTCGGGGGAGGGCAGGGGGATGCTCGGGGGGTGGGCATGGGGGATCATCCTCTGGGGTGGGCAGGGGGATCATCCTTGGGGTGGGCAGGGGGATCTGTCCCCAGCCCTGTGACCCCACTTTGTGTTTAGGGGGTCCCCATGGGGACCTCTCCAGGCCTGGGGTTCCCTCGTCCCTGTGGCCATGGGGACATGTCCTGTGCCATCTGTCCCCAGCCCTGTGACCCCCCCCTTTGTGCTTGGGGGTCCCCATGGGGAGTTCAGGGTGCTGGGCTTGGCTCCTCACTCATGGGGACATGTCCTGTGCCATCTGTCCCCAGCCCTGTGACCCCCCTTTGTGCTTGGGGGTCCCCAAGGGGGCCTCTCCAGGCCTGGGGTTCCCTGGTCCCCGTGGGCACTGGGAGGTGACGTGGCCACGCTGGAGGTGCTGTCGGGGTGTGCCCTGTGTCCTCTGTCCCCCCCAGCCCTGTGACACCCCCCGACCCCACCCTGTCCCCCCCAGGTGCTGCTGCAGGTCCTCATCATCCTCACGGGCAACTACAACTTCTTCAACGTGCTGACCATCGTGCTGGCCTTCTCCCTGCTGGACGAGGAGCACGTGGGGCGCTGGCTGGGCCGGCCCCGCAAGAGGCACGGCAGTGGTGAGACCCCCGAGCCCACCCCGGGGTGGGGGGCTTCCCTGGGGGGCTGGGGACGTGGGGGAGCTGCCACACTGAGCCCAGCGCGGGGATGTGAGGCACAGCTGTGAAATCAGGGAGTGGTGGGGAGGGCAGGGACCTTAAATCCCATCCCGTTCCAGCCCCCCCATGGCAGGGACACCTCCCGCTGTCCTGGGGTGCTCCAAGGACACCCAGGCTGGCCTGGAGCTGCACAGGGACTGGGGACAAGGGATGGACAGGACACAGGGAATGGCTCCCAGTGCCAGAGGGCAGCCATGGATGGCATCTTGGCCATGAGGAATTCCTGGCTGGGCTGGAATTGCCAGAGCAGCTGGGGCTGCCCCTGCATCCCTGGCAGTGCCCAAGGCCAGGCTGGACACTGGGGCTGGAGCAGCCTGGCACAGTGGCAGTGTCCCTGCCATGGCAGGGTGGCACTGCAGGGGCTCTGGGGTCCCTTCCCACCCAAACCATTCCAGGATTCCCTGGATCCTCCCTGGTGTTGGGGCTGGAGCTCCAATGGGTCAGAGCAGGGTGTGGGAGGAGGAGGAGGAGGAGGTTTCATGTCCCTCATCCTCTGAAATCGGGGAATTAAGGATAAACAATCTGTGTGAGCCCATCCCTCCTGGCATTGCTGCCAGCCCACAAGGGGCTCCCACCCTTTGGAATTCTGTATCCCAGTGAGGCTCTGCTGCTCCTGGGCCTTTCCCTCCTCCCTCCCTTTCGCTGCAGTGCTGGAAGCAGTGGGACCCCCAGCATCCCTGGTTTGGGGGGGTCCTTTCCGGGCTGGACAGGGGATGGGTGACCCCGGGGGTGTGGGGACAGCGGGGTGATCCCGGGGGTGTGGGGGACACCAGGGTGATCCCAGGGGTGTGGGGGACACCGGGGTGATCCCAGGGGTGTGGGGGACACCGGGGTGATCCCAGGGGTGTGGGGGACACCGGGGTGATCCCAGGGGTGTGGGGGACACCGGGGTGATCCTGGGGCTGTGGGGGACACCGGGGTGATCCCAGGGGTCTGGGGACAGCAGGGTGATCCCAGGAGTGTGGGGACAGCGGGGTGCTCCCAGGGGTGTGGGGGATACCAGGGTGATCCTGGGGGTGTGGGGGACACTGGGGTACCCTCCGGGGCATGGGGAAAAGCGGGGTGCCCCCAGGAGCATGGGGGACACTGGGATGACACCCTGGGAGCTGGGAAGGGGTGCCCCCACTCCGGGATTTGAGCTGTCAGACGCAGCCTGAGGGGGTTTTAACCCCCCAAACTGGGGGGGCTGAGCCTCTTTGCCCCCATAACACCCCATTTGTGCCCCCCCAGCTGTGCCTGCGTGCGGGGATGCTTCTGGAAGCTCTGGGCCACCCTGCAGTGGGCCGTCATGGCCACGGCCACCGTGAGCCTGTTCGCCGTTAGCCTGGTGAGGCCTGGGGGCCACGGGGCTCTCGGGGACCCCCAAACCCCCCTGAGGCCCTGACGGAGCCCCCTGCCCCCCAGGTGCCCTTCACCTACATCGAGCACGAGTCCAACGGGAAGCTGTGGCCCGGGATCCACCAGATGTTCGGGGCCGTGGAGCGCTTCCAGGTGGTCAATTCCTACGGGCTGTTCCGCAGGATGACCGGCGTGGGCGGCCGGCCAGAGGTCATCCTGGAGGGCAGCTACGACGGGCACAGCTGGACGGTGAGGCTGGCCACGGGAATGGGCACAGAGGCTGGGCTGGGCACAGCTGGGCACTGAGCCAGGGGTGAGGACACAGTCAGGGCTGGGAAGGGGGTCTGAGCTCATGGAGTCCAAGCTCCAGTCCCACAATGCCCAAACTCCCAAGGCCCAGTTTTTCCTGCCGAGGAATTGCCCCAGAGCTCCTCCTGCCAAGGCCAAGGGGCAGCCGAGGGCAGGAGCAGGGAATGGGTGGATTCATGGAGGTGGGCCACCACTGCCCGTGTCCCCAAGTGCCACATCCACACAGCTTTGACATCTCTCCAGGGGTTGGGGACTCCAGCCTGTGCCAGGCCTGGAGAGCCCTTTCCAGGAGGAATTTTCTCAATATCCAACCTAAACCTTCCCTGGTGCAACTCGAGGCTGTTTTCTCATCCTGTCCCTCACTGGGATTAGAGCCACCCTGGGTCCTTTTCCTGGGGCCGAGGTGACCCTGGGCAGGACCAGTGGGATCATTGGTGGGATCAGGTTCTGGATGTGTCCTGCTCCAGAATCCCGGGATTTTGGGTGGGCATGTCCTTTTCCTGGGCCTGAGGTGACCCCAAGCAGGATGAGACACATGGCTGGGGACAGCACCCTGTCACAGCATCCTGGGATTTTGGGTGGGAATGTCCATTTCCTGGGTTTGAGGTGACTCCAGGCACTCGGTGGGATTGGGATCCAGAGGTGTCTTGCCCTAGAATCCCAGGATTTTGGGTGGGAATGTCCTTTTGCTGGGGCTGAGGTGACTCCAGGCGCTTGGTGGCATCGGGGTCCGGAGGTGTCTCTTACAGAATCCCAGGATTTTGGGTGGGAATCTCCTTTTGCTGGGGCTGAGGTGACTCCAGGCGCTCGGTGGGATTGGGATCCAGAGGTGGCCTGCCCTAGAATCCCAGGATTTTGGGTGGGAATCTCCTTTTGCTGGGGCTGAGGTGACTCCAGGCGCTCGGTGGGATTGGGATCCAGAGGTGGCCTGCCCTAGAATCCCAGGATTTTGGGTGGGAATCTCCTTTTGCTGGGGCTGAGGTGACTCCAGGCGCTCGGTGGGATTGGGATCCAGAGGTGGCCTGCCCTAGAATCCCAGGATTTTGGGTGGGAATCTCCTTTTGCTGGGGCTGAGGTGGCCATGGACTGGACCATGCCCTTGGTTGGATCAGGTTCTGGAGGTGTCCCTGTCACAGCATCCTGGGATTTTGGGTGGGAATGTCCATTTCCTGGGTTTGAGGTGACTCCAGGCGCTCGGTGGGATTGGGATCCGGAGGTGTCTCTTACAGAATCCCAGGATTTTGGGTGGGAATGTCCTTTTGCTGGGGCTGAGGTGGCCATGGACTGGACCATGCCCTTGGTTGGATCAGGTTCTGGAGGTGTCCCTGTCACAGCATCCTGGGATTTTGGGTGGGAATGTCCATTTCCTGGGTTTGAGGTGACTCCAGGCACTCGGTGGGATTGGGATCCAGAGGTGTCTTGCCCTAGAATCCCAGGATTTTGGGTGGGAATGTCCTTTTGCTGGGGCTGAGGTGACTCCAGGTGCTCGGTGGGATTGGGATCCGGAGGTGTCCTGCCCCAGAATCCCAAGATTTTGGGTGGAAATGTCCATTTCCTGGGTTTGAGGCGACTCCAGGTGCTCGGTGGGATTGGGATCTGGAGGTGTCTCTTACAGAATCCCAGGATTTTGGGTGGGAATGTCCTTTTCCTGGGACTGAGGCGACCCCAGGCGCTCGGTGGCATCGGGGTCCGGAGGTGTCCTGCCCCAGCATCCCGGGATTTTGGGTGGGAATGTCCTTTTCCTGGGGCTGAGATGACCCCAGGCGCTCGGTGGCATCAGGGTCCGGAGGTGTCTCTTACAGAATCCCAGGATTTTGGGTGGGAATGTCCTTTTCCTGGGACTGAGGCGACCCCAGGCGCTCGGTGGCATCGGGGTCCGGAGGTGTCCTGCCCCAGCATCCCGGGATTTTGGGTGGGAATGTCCTTTTGCTGGGTTTGAGGCGACTCCAGGCGCTTGGTGGGATTGGGAGCTGGAGGTGTCTCTTACAGAATCCCAGGATTTCGGGTGGGAATGTCCTTTTGCTGGGGCTGAGGCGACCCCAGGCGCTCGGGGGCATCAGGGTCCGGAGGGGTCCGGCCCCAGCATCCCGGGATTTTGGGGGGGAATGTCCTTTTGCTGGGGCTGAGGCGACCCCAGGCGCTCGGGGGCATCAGGGTCCGGAGGGGTCCGGCCCCAGCATCCCGGGATTTTGGGGGGGAATGTCCTTTTGCTGGGGCTGAGGCGACCCCAGGCGCTCGGGGGCATCAGGGTCCGGAGGGGTCCGGCCCCAGCATCCCGGGATTTTGGGGGGGAATGTCCTTTTGCTGGGGCTGAGGCGACCCCAGGGGTCCGGAGGCGTGCGGTCCCCGTTGCCATGGCAGCCGCTCCCGTCCCGCAGGAGATCGAGTTCATGTACAAGCCCGGGAACGTGAGCGCGGCCCCGGCCGTGGTGGCCCCGCACCAGCCCCGCCTGGACTGGCAGCTCTGGTTCGCCGCCCTCGGGCCCCACCAGAGCAGCCCCTGGTTCAGCGCCCTGGTGCTGCGCCTGCTGCAGGGACAGCCCGACGGTCAGGGACCGCGACACGGGCTGGGGACACGGGGTGGGGACGGGGGACACGGGGCTGGGGACGTGGAGGGCAGACTGGGGGCTCTGGGAACAGGGCAGGGGAGCTGGGGGCTCTGGGGACAGGGGACACGGGGCTGGGGGCTCTGGGGACATGTGGGCTCTGGGAACAGGGCAGATGGGCTGGGGGCTCTGGGGACAGGGGACATGGAGGATCTGGGGACAGGGGACACAGGGCTGGGGGCTCTGGGACACAGCCTATCGTGGGACCTCCCCAGCATCGGTGCCACTGTGGTTTTGGGGTGTCCCTGGCTGTGTTTGGGGTGTCCCCACAGCCCTGGAGGTGTCCATGTTTGGGGTGTTCCTGCAGCCCTGGGGTGTCCCCGGGTGTATTTGGGTGTCCCTATTTAGGTTTGGGGTGTCCCTGGCTGTGTTTGGGGTGTGCTGGGGGTGTCCCCGGGTGTGCTGGGGGTGTCCCTGGCTGTGTCCGGGGTGTGCTGGGGCTGTCCCCGGGTGTGCTGGGGGTGTCCCTGGCTGTGTTTGGGGTGTGCTGGGGCTGTCCCCGGGTGTGTTTGGGGTATCCAGGGTGTGCTGGGGCTGTCCCCGGATGTGTCCGGGGTGTGCTGGGGGTGTCCCGGGTGTGTTTGGGGTGTGCTGGGGCTGTCCCCGGGTGTGTTCAGGGTGTGTCCGGGCTGTCCCCACCCCCCGGGTGTGTTTGGGGGCTGTGTTTGGGGTGTGCTGGGGCTGTCCCCGGGTGTGTTTGGGGTATCCAGGGTGTGCTGGGGCTGTCCCCGGCTGTGTCCGGGGTGTGCTGGGGGTATCCCCGGCTGTGTCCGGGGTGTGTCCGGGCTGTCCCCGCCCTGCTGGGGCTGTCCCCGCCGTGTCCCCCGTCTGACCCCTGTCCCGCAGTGATCCGCCTGGTGCAGACGGACGAGTCCCGGTACCCGTTCCACGGCCGCCCGCCCACCTTCCTGCGGGCCCAGCTCTACAAGTACTGGTTCACGGCCCCCAACGAGGGCAGGTGAGTGGGGAGGGGCTCCTGCGGGCCCCCCCAGCCCGGCCTCGGGGGGCTCTGGGGTCACCTGAGCCCCCCGTGCCCCCAGCCCGGGCGCGGCTCCGTGGTGGCGGCGGCAGCACGTGCAGGAGTTCTTCCCGGCCGTGTCCCTGGGAGACCCCACGCTGGAGACCCTGCTCAGCCAGCACGGCCTCAAGGTGGGCACGGGTGGGCCCCGAGACCCTCCCTGGCTCCTGACCCCCGTCCTTCAGCACCCCTGACCCCCCCTGCCTTGCCCCCAGCTCTCCCCCTGACCCTATTCCATTGCTCTTGACCCTCTCTTCCTTCACCTTGATCCCTTTCCCTCGCCCCCTCCCCAAGCCCCCTTTCTTCTCCCCTGACCCACTTCCCCCACCCTGAGCCCCCATCTCTCCCTCGTTCCCCTGGCCCCAGCTCCCCCTCCCTAATGGGGTAAGAAAAGATAATCTCAGTTTCCTGAAATAGCAGAGAGGAGCTCCAGACTCATGTAGTGGGCAGACATGTGAAAGCAGAATTATTTGTTGTACCTGTCTCACTAATCTTGAAAATTACTTTGTTAAAGGGAAAAACTAATCCGTATTTAATTTTCAGTGGGACCACTTAAAATTAAATTGTGTTGAAAACAGGACATTTTGTTCTTACTCTGTCTTTGGGAAAATGAGATTTTTAGTTCCAGTGTGGATTTTTCAAAAATCAAAATTGTGCAAAACACAAGCAGTGCCTCTTTATGCCATTATGGAATTATGTGTCTGCTTTTTAGCTGACCTTTGCCAAAAGCATCCTGGCACCTGCTGGAAGCAAAACAAATGAATAGAAACCTTTCTGCACTTCGTGATCACTTCTCATCAAGGAAGGGAACATCAAAAAAACATCTCCAGGCACATCCTGCAGGAGCTCTGGCATAACAACCCACCAAACTGAAATGAACATGGGTCCTCCTGCGATCTGGGTAATGGAACCCTTTCCTCGTGGATCTCACTCCTCTTCTTCATCACTCATCTGCTGCCAAAAAAAGACCCTTGCCCTCCACATTTACAGCCTAAATAGAATCAGGGAATCACTGAGGTTGGAAAAGACCTCCAAGATCATCATGTCCAGTTATTGACTCAGCAGCATCAGGCCCACCCTTAACCCCTGTCTCCAGGTGCCATCCCAGATGGTTTTCACCCCTTTCAGGGATGGTGACACCACCGCTGCCCTGGGCAGCCTGTGCCCATGCCTGCCCAGCCCTTTCTGTGAAGAAGCTTTACCTGATGCCACCCTGAGCCTGCCCTGGCCCAGCCTGAGGCCGTTCCTTCTCCTGTTGCTGTTCCCTGCAGCACAGCCTGACCCCCCGGCTGTCCCCTCCTGTCAGGAGCTGTGCAGAGCCACAAGGTCCCTCCCGAGCCTCCTTTTCTCCAGGCTGAGCCCCTTCCCAGCTCCCTCAGCCTCTCCTGGGGCTCCAGCCCTTCCCCAGCTCTGTTCCCTTTCCCCCAGGACAAGCCCCCTGACCCTTTCCCCTGCCCCCTTTCCCCCAGGACAAGCCCCCCTCTCTCCGCCGCGCTGCCGCCGCGCTGCCGCGGCTGCTGGGCTGGGTGCGCCGCCTGTGCCAGCCGGTCTCGGGCCCTGCCCTGCTCTGGTCCCTCTACCTGGTGGCCGCCACCGCGGGGCTGCTGCGAGCCCTGGCCCGGCGGGCCCGGGGGGGACAAGCCCCCGCCCGCCACAAGGGACCCCGGGAGCGCAACGGGGCGCGGGGCACGGAGGGGGCGCGGCCCGAGGGCCGGCACGCCAACAAGAGGAAGAAGTAGCCCCCGCAGCCCCCCAAAATCGGGGGGCAGGGAGGGGGTCCCGGACACAGCCAGGCCTTGGGGACCCCTTGGGGACACCTCCCCAGTGTCCAGGCACTCCCGGGGACCTCTCCCTGCTAGCTGGGGACCCTCCCTAGGATTTGGGGGCTGCTTGGGGACATGTCCCAGTGTCTGGGGACCCTGCCCCCATGCCCAGGAACCCCTTGGGCACCCGGCCCCAATGTTGGGGGACCCCTCCCCAGTGCCCAGGGACCCCTTGGGGACCCCTCCCCAGTGCCCAGGGACCCCTTGGGGACCCCTCCAGACCCCACAGTGTGGGGGCTCAGCACAGGTCAGGGGCTCAGAGCGGGTGGGGGCTCTGTGCCCGCGGGCTGGAGCAGTTTGGGCAGTGCCAGCCCTCCGTTACCCTGCCCGGCCCCTCAGGTCACTTTGGGGTCCCCCCTGGCACTTTGGGGTGCTCCCTCCTCGCGGGCTCTGCCCATCCCGTGGTTCCCCCTGCCCGGCTCGGCCCGAGCCCAGAGGTTTCCTATAATTTTCTAATTAAAAGCCTTTGACATTCCAGCCCCGCGGCTCTCCTGGATTGGGGGGTCCTGGCCAGGGGTGCAGCAGCATCAGGTTTATTGTAGAGCCCCGGGAGTGCTGCGGGGGTCCCGGCGGGGTTGGGGGGTCACCAGCAGAGCTGCCCCGGGCAGTATTTGTCGATGAGGCCCTGGTAGTACGCGCGGAGCTGCTGCACGTCGGGCAGCTCCTCCTGCTTGGTGTACAGGTCGAACTTGCTGCGGGGCAAACGGGGGGTCAGGGCGGGGGGCCGGACCTCCCCCCCAACCCCCCAAAGGCGCGGGGGGGCCCGGCCGAGCCCCCAGCCCCCCCGGGCACGCACTTGAGCTCGCGGAGCCAGGGCAGCATGCGGCGGTCCTCCTCGGAGCACAGGTGCCAGTAGTCGCCGTGGGCGTGCCAGGGGTAGAAGGAGTGGAAGCGAACCATGTAGAAGGCCTGGGGTGGGGGGGGGACACGGGTTTAGGGTGCTCCCCCCGCACCCCCAAACCCTCCGGGGGTCCCTGGGACCCCGAGAGGTGCAGAGCCCCCCCGGGAGCTGCAGCCCCTGCAGTCCTTGCAAAGGGGGCAGTGGGGGGGTCAGCGCAGTCCCGGGGGGCACCAGGGCCCCATTTGGGGCGGGGGGGCGCTCCCTGCCCCCAGGAGGGGCCCCCCCAAACTCACCATCGTGGCCCCAGGACATGAGGACGTTGTCCAGGCCGCAGCCGGGCTGGTACATCCCGTACTCGGTGCTGGGGAGGGGGCAGGGCTGAGGGGCTGGACCCCCCCCCACACAGCCCGGCGGGGCCGGGGGTGCAGCCCCCGCCCCCAAACCCCCGGGGGTCCGCCTCACCTGTACCGGGGGTCTTTGCTGTCGGGGTTGTCGTGGAAGGTGGAGTCCCCGTAGACCACCGACTTCTGTACCTTGCAGCCCACCGGGAAGGTGTCCCCGACCACGGCCCACTGCCGGGGGGCACGGGGGTCACAGCACCCCCCGAGGGTCCCCCGGCCGCGGGGGGAGCCCCCCCGAAGCCCCTCCCCAGCGCGCCGCTCACCTGGGGCTCCCCGAACAGCACCAGCACCTTGCCCAGGTCGTGCAGGAGCCCCACGAGGTGGAACCAGTCTGGGGGGAGCGGGGCCGTGTCACCCCCGGGCCGGGGACCCGGCGGGGGACAGGCCGGGCGGCGGCGGGAGCCGGCCCCACCTTTGTCGGGGTGCGCCCGGCGGATCCCCTCGGCCGTCTGGAAGGCGTGGAAGGAGTTGGGGAAATCCACGTCGGGGTCCGACTCGTCCACCAGCTGGTCCAGCAGCTGCAGCGCCTCCATCACGCTCATCCTCCGCTGCGAGCAGCGGCCGTACTGCGCGCTCTGGGGACAGCGACGCGTGGGGACAGCGTGGGGACAGCGCCAGCCCCTCAGCGCTCGCTGCCCCTCGGTGTCCCCCGACGGGCTGGGGTTGGGCTGCAGGGGGAGGGCTGGGACACCCCCGCCCCGCTCTGGTGGCACCGGGGGACGCGGGGTGGCACCGGGGCACAGGGCACGGTGACACCGGGGGACAGGGCACGGTGACACCGGGGGGGACGCGGGGTGGCACCGGGAGACAGGGGGTGACACCGGGGGACAGGGCACGGTGACACCGGGGGGAACGCGGGGTGACACCGGGGGACGCGGGGTGACACCGGGGGACAGGGGGTGGCACCGGGGGCGATGCGGGGTGACACCGGGGAACAGGGGGTGGCACCGGGGGCGATGCGGGGTGACACCGGGGGACAGGGGGTGACACTGGGGAACGTGGGGTGACGCCGGGGGACAGGGCACGGTGACACCGGGGGACAGGGCACAGTGACACCGGGGGGGATGCGGGGTGGCACCAGGGGACAGGGGGTGACACTGGGGGATAGGGGGTGACACCGGGGGACAGGGAGTGGCACCGGGGGATAGGGGGGGACACCGGGGGACAGG